TTGAGATAAGGCACATTTTCCCAACCCTAGCATAATTCTTCACTTTCCTTAGTGACACTCAGAATTCTACACCCTCTTCAAGACACTCTTCAAGGGCTACCTCTCAAATTAAGTCACTCCCTGACCCACCTCCAACACCTCACAGTGTCAGTGCACACGTATCTCATGTAGTGTGTTACCCATGCTGCCTGAGGTTCTTTAATGCAGTCTTGGGCCTTGATGTTTTCAATTTTAAATCAGAGTGATAGGAAGGTAGGTCCACCCCAATGTATCTACATTTTCAGACTCACCAACTCTTTTAGTAAGCTTAGTACTTAAGGATAGGATATGATGAAACATGAGAAAGGTGGACTATTATTTTGTCAATCAGGAGATCTGTAATTTTCTCTTGATATAAAGATGAGTTGTTTTGGTGGGTCTAGGCTTTATTCCCAGAGTTTAAATAAAGCTTTTAAGAGTAGAGATAGCCGGGCGGTGGTGGCACACGCCTTTAATCCCAGCACTCGGGAGGCAGAGGCAGGAGGATCTCTGTGAGTTCAAGGACAGCCTGGTTTCCAAAGCGAGGTCCAGGAAAGGCGCAAAGCTACACAGAGAAACCCTGTCTTGAATTCCCCCACCCCCCAAAAAAAGTAGAGATAAAGTTGCATGCTTCCTTGTTTCTTTGTGTAGTCTCTGGCACAGGGTTTATAGTGGATTTATTGAAAGCATACCAAAGGAATATTTAAAAGTGTCTGGGGTGTCAGAGAAAAATATATTTGTCAAGTGGGGAGACAAATGTGGATGCAGATACCACAACAGTATATATGTAGATGGCAGGACAATATAATAGAAAAACAACATTAGACAAATCTTCTACTTAAGGACATTCCATTGCCCCTTCATTCATCACTTCATCCTGCAAAGGCAAACTGATAGCCTACTATTTTACAGGCCTCTTTCCTCAGGAACTTTACCCTCAGGTTGGGGAGAGAAAGTCTCCTAGACCTACAAAAATGATCCTGACAGCAGTATCTACATTAATGAAAATGAGATGCCAACTCTCACGCTTGATAAATGGTATGACTCATCTCAGAGCAGGTTTGGTTCTCATTAACTGGTCCAAAATCTATGTCCCTCATTTATCTCAAGCTATTCAAGGGCAAGAGCCATATATTAATCATCTTCCTATTCCAGAATGTACAACAGGGCTTGCCATTCATTCATTCCTTCATTCATTCCTTCACTCATTCAGGAAGCCACACATTCATTTACTCAAGGCATTTTAGAGAGCATTTACTATGTGGTAGGCATAGCAGGTACCCATCTTGTCTGAATGCTTAACTTGAATCAAGATCTAACTTAAAGAAATGTTGTTTTTCAAGACTTATGTGCTAGGCATTGAACATGAGACAAGTAAGTGCCTACCCTCCCAAACCTGTCTAGCAAGAATTACAGAGGACACTGAGCACAGAGCTATCCTGGGAAATGTCTGAATTTACACATTTAAATGGTACTGTTTCCCTTCTCTCAATTACATATTCTGCTCCTCTTAGACCTTTTTCTGCTGTGTGACTCATCGGGGTCATGCCCTTGCTATTCCCTGCAGCCTGACCCACCTTCTGGCCATGACCCAACTTCATGTATAGGTTACCATTGGGCTCCCTTCTGATTTGGTAAGCCATGAGTAAGTAGTCTTTAGAGCAATACAGGTCAGTTCACCTTGATTCCAGAGACCTCCTCTTAACTCATTGACCTCCAGAGGACAGTCCCTCGAGCTGCCTATGAAATCGTGTATAGTAGGAGACACTCTGTGTATGCCAAATGAGAAAATGAATGAAGAGACAGCGTAGCTTTTCTTTCAGGGAGGTTTGCCAGAGGTCAACCTTCATGTCATGATAAGTCTAAGTGCTGCAATTGTCTTCCTGGAAATAGAGCCTTCCTAGTCCTCATGGATAAGGGGGAGGAGTGCTTTAAAAACCATTCTTAATTAGGCAATTATGACAATTAAATATTTGAGACTCAGAGTTCCCAATCCTTATTTGATTTCTACTTTAATTTCCTAATAATGTATGTCTCTGTTCTCATTGTACTCACTCCCTTTGAATCCGTGTGGGACTCATTTGCTTAGAATAATTGCTTCTCTATACGGCTCTCTCTTGTCATCCTCACAATGATCTAACATGGTGGGGGGAAAACATTTACTTTCTCGAGGAACAGTTTTTAAAGACTAGTGAATACTAGCTTTCTCATTACGCTCCTTTAGAGACAATGAGATAAAGAGGTGACAAGGGGAAAGCAGAGCCCTGGCAGTTCTGATGATCAGAAATTACATCATTGTGCTTCCTCTTTGTCAGGATTCCTGAACTCAAGATAGAATCAGAAGAGGATAGACTGCAATAGGCACTTCCTGAATGCTTGCTAAGCAAGTCTTGTCAGAGGCTGAAACACTATGAGGGGTCATTACAAGTCAGGGGTGGGCAGCTATTGCTTTCCTTATTGTCAAATAAGTGGCCAAGCTCTGATCAAGGCATTCATAAGTCATTGTTTATGTCCCTCCCAAGCTCACTGTGCTGCTTCCTGACTTCGGAAGTCTTATGACCTTGAGTAACTTATTTAACTCTCCTGAGCCTCAGTTTACAAGTGAGAATTGTACTAAGAATATTCAACACTTGGCTCTAGATTCACAGTAATTTTACAATTCAAATAAGGATAACTAAACTGGGTAGTGGTGGCACACACTTTTAATCCCAGAACTCAACAGGTAGAGGCAGGTGGATCTCTGAGTTCCAGACCAGCCTGGTCTATAGATCGAGTTCCAGGACAGCCGGGACTACACAGATAAACTCTGTCTCAAAAGAACAAAGCCAAACAAAAAAGGATAACTATTGCTATTAGCCTTGGTTAGCAAAAGAGATTGCTGCTCTGTATGGACTAGAAATACCAGGAAACAGCAGAACACAGAGGCAGTGGCCTCACACCAGGCAGAAGACTGAGTGCTCCAGGATCCCAAATAGCACAGGCCTAGGTAGGATTTGACTTGAGCTTGTCTTTACATGCTGGCATAGGCTAAAAGTCATGGCCAGGACCTCTGTCTCTTCTGGAACTGTTAATACCAAGAGAGATACTCTCTGGTAGTCAAAGTTAAAACCTGGGGTCTCCAATAGTTTGCTGAATAAGGGCTTTAGAAAGAAAATGGGGTGAAGGTAAAAGGCACGCATCTAAATGTGAATGCTTTATAATTCAAAAAAAAAACGTTTGGTCACAGAAGCAAGTTCATAACCTCTTCCTCCACTACTGACACCATCACTTACATGCCAGGTACAGAAGCAGGGGCTGAGGTTATCCCAGCCAAGAAGGCGGAGTGACTGCCACAAAGAGCTGAGGACAAGGAGGCATGGGAATGGGGCGCTTTAACGAATTTCTGTAATACAACATGAGAAATAACTACCGTAGAGGCACATACATCAGAAGCTTCAGGAAGCTGGAGAGAAGGGCGGTCACTAGAGTCACCAGCAACTAGTTACTAGAACTAGAGCACTGAAGCCAGAGACTGATGTGTAGCCAAGCTGCCGAAACTGCACAGCTCTGCTTAAAACAGCCCATCCCTAGCCCAGCTGGAAAGCAGCCCACATGGCGAGCAGCCAGAACCCAAAGCTAGAGGACTGAGAGCAACGGGAAGGCAGCTCGTCTTGGCAGGTGATCATCTGTTCCCCATACTCTTCTCCAGTATTGTCAGGACACCTAGTTGGCTACATCCTTTCTCTTCACAAATACCATAGTACAGGGGAGGCCTTTGATCTGCATAGAGATCTCAATGCTCATTGTGACTGGAACACTGAAAATATTTACCAAGTCACCGGATTGACGACTCCATGTCAGGTCTCATTCAGATGAAATATGAGACATCATCTTTGTAAGTCACCATGCATAGCCCAAGAATGGACAAAATGCACATGTAACATCAAAGATGCTTCCTGTGCTTACAAACCATGCAGGTTTTCTGCAGAACAGGATATAATATTATCAAGGAACACACAAACAGATGTGTGTGTTCGCATGTTTCATAGACACACGATCATGCATTTGGACCTCCAGGTATACTCTTGCCATCATATCCATTTCTTTATACACACATGCACACACACACGCACACACACACACACACACACACACACACACACACACACACACACTCATACATGCAAACATGGGTGCAGCAATCCCAGTTGCTACGGTACTGAGGTATTTGGCTGGGACTGGCAGATGGAAGTTCATCCTAAACTGAACAGCCATCTTCTCTCACTGCAACCTTAAAAGCACAGCAGGCTCATTACAATGCTATTATGTGCATTTGTGCAGAGATGGTGTGGTTAGTCCAGCCACAGAGACAGTGGAGCCTGCCTGCCTGTCTGCTGCTGCCCACCCAATGCATCCTCAGAGGAAACGGGCTGTGCTCTGTCTCCACACCTGAAATAAATTGCCCCCTAGTTGCCCTCCTGTTTTCATATCAGAATTCTTCTGATAAGCCTACAACTGTGGGACAAGAGTCTCCAACTCAATGCTGGGACCTTTGAGATTTGCTCTTTCCTCTGTCCCTTCTTTGCCTTCCTGCCTTAGTAGACCACTTCTCATCTCAGCCCTGATATGTATAAGGATGCTATTCGAGATTCTAAATCATCTATTCACCAAAAGCTACTGAGTAGTTTTAAAGATGTATATTTCATAGAGTCTGAGCTTCATGAATCCAAATTTCCATGGGCAGGACTCAGGAATATATATTTTCAAAAGTTCTCTCAAGATTCCGATATTTGTCAGCCAGGGTAGGGCAACATAGGATTGTCTAAATGTAGCTTCTTGATGGCAAATTCCAACATAGAGGCCTATGGCTGAGTTTTCTAGCTATAGTCTATATTCATTATATGTGATAACAAATTATCCCAAAGCTTAGTGGTTTTAAGAGTACAACAAAAATGTATTATCTCTCCTAGTTTCCATGGGTTAAAAACTGAGACATGGCCCCTCCTTCCTGCGGCGCTCTAGGGACCATGGCCGATCCTCGCGTGAGGCAGATCAAGATCAAGACAGGCGTGGTGAAGCGGCTGGTCAAAGAAAAAGTGATGTATGAGAAAGAAGCAAAGCAGCAAGAAGAAAAGATAGAGAAGATGAAGGCCGAGGACGGGGAGAACTACGCCATTAAGAAGCAGGCAGAAATCCTGCAAGAGTCCCGGATGATGATCCCAGATTGCCAGCGCCGGTTAGAGGCTGCATATACCCATCTTCAGCAGATATTAGAAAGTGAAAAAGACTTGGAAGAAGCCGAGGAGTATAAAGAAGCACGTGTAGTTCTGGATTCAGTGAAGTTAGAAGCCTGAAGTTTTGCCGTACAGGGTGTTTTTTGCATTAAATCCTGGGGTCCACTCTACAATTCGTTATTTTTGGCCACTGCTGTGTTTAGTAATATGAAAATGTGGTTCTTTTTATGCAGTTGCATATATTTTTCTTTGCATAACTTAATGTGTCAAATAAATGAGTTCATCTAAAAAAAAAAAAAAAAAACAAACTGAGACATGGAGTGATTAGGTGGAACTCAAGGACCCCTCATTGTGCAACATCAATCAGGATGTAGGCTGTAGTCATCTGCATGCCTGCCTAGGACTAGAAGATTCATATCCAAGATGGCCCACTCACAGCTGTTGTCCTACCTCCTCTGCACAAAGGCGTCTCCACAGGGGTGCTTGAGTGTCCTTCAACATCGCATCTTACTTCCTGAGAACAAGTGACTCAAGCGACCCACAGGGAAGCCATGATCCCTTTTACTACCAAGCCTTGGAAGTCACACCTTCTAACCCAGATTTGGTTCGGTTCAGGGTAGGAAAAGATTGCACAGGCTGTGCCCGTCAGCAGGTGAAGATATCTGGGAATCATCATAGGGAAAAGTTGGTGACAGCCAGGCTGGAGATGAGGGACAGGAGTTTATTAATGTACAAATGCCCACAAAAAGGATGAGATTTGAAAAACTTACCTAGTCTTCTCTCTGAGCTCTGAACATCTCCACATCTTTCATATGTCTCTTTCAAAGATCACACTCAAGCCCCTAACCCGTATGAGCCTTGTAAGTTTACTTATATTTCCTAGAGGACAGGACATCTCATCTGCAAGCCCCTGTAAGAGGGAGCAAGGAGGGAGCTCACTGAATGCCCTTCAAAAGCCACAGGCATCTTGAGATACTGCCCCACTCCATTTAAAGTGAATCCCTATATTATCTCTAGTTCCCTTACTCTTCTAAAAGATTTTTAATCTCCCCTGATTTTTTTAAAATAATTTTTTCTCTTTTTCTACTGATCTTATCTAGAGATTTTACCCAAGGCCATTATAGGCAATATTTATTTAACCTTCATACTAACCTTGACAGCTTGATTTATTTATTATTGCTTACATACAAAGAAACTGACTCAGAAAGTGAGTTGACTTTGCACAAAGTCTTAGATCCTCTTCGGGATTGTATTCTAGGCAGCTGGATGCAAAACAAACAGAGAGAACTTAACATTAACAGGTCTCCCCACCTAGCATGTGACAGGAACACTGAAGTTTATTCAGCATGGAGGTCCCCTGAAGTATCCTCAGGGCCATAGGTCAGAGCTAAGCAAAAAGTTTAAAGTTTCTCTAGAGCAATGGGACCTATGCACAAAGGGTGGCCCCAGATCTGCTGCTGAGGGTCATTGTTGACCAGCTTTGAGGCACTAGGGCAGAGGTCAAGCTCTCTTGTAACCAGAGAAACCTACACTGCTAAGGCCACGCGTGTCAATGTGCTAATGTTTCATGATTGCGACCCAGTCTCTCACTTCCACACAACCTCCCAGAGCACTCACTGCAAAGCGATACCTGCCGGCTGCCCTCTGATTATTTTACATCCCTAGCTGCCTCCAGCTGTACCAGTCTCTCTTCTCTGGTTTCTTTTTCATCCCTGTTCCTGGCAGGTGGGATAGGGGATGGGGGATGGACAGAGAGTTAGGTAAATGAGAAGGAATTACCATCTCTTGTCTACCGCTTCTGACCTCTCCATGGACTTCTTCTAGGAGGGAGGTCTGAAATGCAGCAGCATTGTGAAGAAGAGATGGTATTTACCCAGCACTTGTACTGTGCTGTGCTGTACTGTACCAGGCATTAAGATGAATACCTTGAATACAAGACACACCAAATCCTCAGAACAGCTCTGGAAAACAGAGGGAGTGCTTTGAGCCACCTGGCTGCTGACTCAGGATGGCACAACTAACTTAGCTTCTCTAACTAGAAGTGGTGACCTGCTGTCTCTGCTCCCAAAGTCAGATGGCTTTGGAGCTATATAGATATAGCAAAGCAAAGGATCCATCTTTCCCTCCCATTGACCCGTGTCTCTCTAGTTCCCAGACTGCCCATCATCATCCCTGCTATTCACATCAGGTCTGTGGAGAATGGTAAGGAAGCCCGGGGGCAGCCGTCATACCTATGCAAGTGTAAGAAGCGTTCATTTGAGCACATAATTATGAAACCCACCGCTATCTCGAACCATTTTTTAAATTTATTTTATTCATTGCATGTGTTATAGCAGATTCTAGCCAGCTCATGTTGAGTGGAAGTTTGGTTTTGTTTTTGCTGTTGCCTGAACTTGATTTAAGTCAGAGAAGGGAAATGAGCAGGCCAGTCCTTCAGGTACTCAGTGTCGATTACAGGTTAAAGAAACTGGGTGACTCCAAGTCACTGCTAACAAGTGTAATGCACATGTCTTGAGGGTCATGTGAGATTGTTTGTGTGAAGTGCAGAAAAATCCCCTGGTTAGGCTCCAAGCTGGGTCTGGGCATAGGAAATCATAGAGGAGTGAGGGACTAGCCAGACTCTGAAAACTCATGTGAACATGACTCCTGGTTGGGTCTAGGCCTGGAAGACAGACCTGGGTCAGACTTAACAATAAAAGATACAGAGATGAGGATCTGGGCCAAGAGTCTTCACAGATGTGGCTCCTACCTGGGGCTGGAGGGACACTGTGAGTGGGCAGCACCAGGTGAAGCTCAGACTCCCAGGAGGAAGTTCGCATGCCTTGTCTCCTACTTGAGCCTGGCATTGGGAGGTGTGAGAGGAGGGAAGTGAGTTGGACCCACAGAGAGAGATTTCAAATGTGGCACCTGCTGAACATTGAGGCGATAGGCGCCAAGAATGGTGAGGGCCCTGGGTCAGTCTCGGAAATAGTGTGTGCAAATGTCACTCCCAGCTAGGCATGGGTGAGGGTTCAGAACTGACTAGGCAAGAAAAACCAGGGATGCTGCTTTGCCTGAGTCTAGTCTAAAGCTCAGTAGAGGAACAGCAGCATGGCATGAGGGCTCTGGGGCCAACTCAGCGAGGTGTTCCAATGTGGCTCCTAGGCATAAAGCAGGGTACAATGGGGATAGAGAATTCTTGAGCCATGATTTTACGTATTATTATACACATCGTAATGACACAAGATGTAAATTCTTGTAAGTGGGTTATTTGAAAGAAAACTATTATAAGGTTTAATGTATAAGAATATGGCCTCCCAAATCATGAAAATAGCAAACAGGTAACTGAAATTAAGGAAATACCCATGCTTTCAGTGTGGTGGTCTCATGCCAGCAGTGAGGCAGGAGGTTTGCCATGTTTCAAAGCCAGCTGACAATGAGACCCAGTCTCAAAACAGCAAAAGCTGAAACAAAACAAAACTCCAAACTAAAGTAAACAAAAGTGAACAAAGACAGAAAGAAAACACCCAAGATGGGCATGAAATTTGAGCCACAAAACTGTGTTCAAACTCTAACGGTACCTGTTGCTTGATGTCGGTCTACCTTCTCTTTCCACTTCTATAAAATGTGAACAACAGCAGGATTACTGTGAACAAAGACTGCGGAAAGCATGTCAAGCTCCATAGACTCCTTTCTCTCTAAGGCTGCGCTCCAAGGTGGGTGCCAAGTTGACATGGGTACACAGGGTCCTGGGTGTGGTGGGTCTGGAAGGTAAGTTTGTGCTTTAATGTAACTTGAGCAGTAGAAGTAGCAGAGGTGGCTGTGGGGCTAGCCCCCAGCTTGATTGACCTGTTGGAAAAGAAAAAAGGCAATCATCGCTCTCTAGACTAATTGTAGAAGGTCCCAGAATGCCGAGAAGTGAGTTTCCATAGAAAGGAGGTAAGCATCTTGAATGTAGTCTAGAGCTCTAAGAAAGGACTCAGCCAAAAGCTAGAGGGGAAGAAGCAGGGATTAGATGTAAAAGTCTCTATGGCTCACAGAGGCAGGGACACTGGGAGTCTAACTATCCTTGGGAAAAGAAGAAAGACCCTGCTGACAGCCAATATCTTGGAAAAAGCAGCCTGGCACTGTGATACTGGGCAGGGAGAGTTCCAAGAACAGCCATCTTGACTCAAATCTAACTCGTCTCCTCTGAAGATTAACTTCTTTGTTAATAATATGTTGGTAATAATTACTCAGTATCTACTTTAGAGAGTGGTTATAAGGTTAAAGAGACAATAAGCATATCACAAATCCACATAGAGTGTATCTCTGCTGCATCGCCCGTACCTACCACAGTGCCTGGCAAACTGGAAGCGTTGCGTGGATTTGCTTAACAGGTGTGTAAGTGAACTCTACCACCAACCACCTCAACCTTGTGTAAGTAAAAGTCAACTATACTGCAGGATAATGCTGGAGGGGGAAATCAAACTAGCCAGGATGACCCAGAGTCTGAAGTGAGACATGCTTCATTGTCTTAGAATGAGGATATGGAATGCTTCCCAGATGGTCTGACATGCAGCACTACTAGGATCATTAGCTCTTTGACGGGCGGTAGACCCTTGGAGCTGCACTTGTTTAATCACTGCAAGTGTAGAGGGAGATGACATTCAGAGAGGCCAATGACTCCTGAGTAGCCAGTGACAGACAAGGGCTAGCTCCTGGGTCACTCACTCCTGACTGCTGTTCTTCCTACAATGCCAAATGACCTTCCCACCAGGTGCCCTTTGTACTAGAGCTGAATCTAGGCCAGGGTCCCTCCCTTCACTGGTGTAGCTGGAGGCCCCACCCTTCCTGGATCCTGCCTGTAGGACATTGTTTCTGATTTTGAACGGACTGGTTTTCCTATTCACACACTTTAGAGAGCTTAGGGAGGGACCTTATTTTATTTTTTGAAGTGTTTTGTAAGTGGAAAATACCACTTGGACCCAGCAGGAAACAAGTGCATACTGCTAGTCCTTCTTCTATGAGGAAGGAAAGAAGGCAAAATGGCCTGTGGCTGTTAAAAGCTGCTAGAAGCTTGGCGGATTCTAAGGGAAACCTGGCTGGAGAGGGCACATATGGGAAGAGGAAAGTTACAACAATATGGTAAATGTATAGTAACAAGGTTGAGATGTTGTGATATGGTAAGGAATGTGTATGGTCTTCACACTCTGTTCTAACAACTCCTGTAAACACCAGTTCTAGAAGAACCTTTCTGCTTGGAGATTGCCTTTTTGACCTTTATTCATTCCTGACACAGAGTTCTAAGATCTTAGAAATTTCTCAAGTCTT